CTCTGGCACTCCCGCAGCCCCTCGGCCAGCAGCGTCACCACGTCCCGGTGATCCTCCAGGAGCTGCCGGAGCAGCGCACAGAACCGGGACTCGTCCGTGTGCACGTGGATCTGACACGGCAGTTACACGTCAGTTACACGGGAATTACATGGGAGTTACATGGGAGTTACACACAGGTGTGGCAATGGCAGCAGCTGTGCCCAGGTAACCCCAAACCCCCCAAAATCCCCATTTTTCACCCCATTTCCACCGGGTTTTTTTTGCCCTGCCCCTCCCAGCTGTGCCCAGGTGTGCCCAGGTGTGTTTTGGGTGTGCCCAGGTACCCCAAAATGTGCCCCAGGTGTGCCCAGGTGTGTTTTGGGTGCGCCCCGGTGAATTCTGGGCGCCCCAGCTGTGCCCAGGTGTGCCCAGGTGTGCCCAGGTAACCCCAAACCCCCCAAAATCCCCATTTTTCACCCCATTTCCACCGGGTTTTTTTTGCTCTGCCCCTCCCAGCTGTGCCCAGGTGTGCCCAGGTGTGTTTTCGGTGCCCCAGGTGTGCCCAGGTACCCCAAAATGTGCCCCAGGTGAGTGCCCAGGTACCCCCAGCTGTGCCCAGGTGTGTTTTGGGTGCCCCAGGTGAGTTTTGGGCGCTCCAGGTGTGTTTTGGGTGTGCCCAGGTGTGCCCAGGTAACCCCAAACCCCCAAAATCCCCATTTTTCACCCCATTTCCACCGGGTTTTTTTTGCCCCGCCCCTCCCAGGTGTGCCCAGGTGTGCCCAGGTGTGCCCAGGTAACCCCAAACCCCCAAAATCCCCATTTTTCACCCCATTTCCACCGGGTTTTTTTTGCTCTGCCCCTCCTAGCTGTGCCCAGGTGTGCCCAGGAGTGTTTTGGGCACCCCCGGTGTGTTTTGGGTGTGCCCAGGGGTGCCCAGGTGTGCCCAGGTGCCCCAAAACCCCCAAAATCCCCGTTTTTCACCCCATTTCCACCGGGTTTTTTTTGCTCCGCCCCTCCCAGCTGTGCCCAGGTGTGCCCAGGTGTGCCAGGTGAGTGCCCAGGTGTGTTTTACCCCCCCAAAACCCCCAAAATCCCCATTTTTCGCCCCATTTCCACCGGGTTTTTTTTGCTCTGCCCCTCCCGGGTGTGCCCAGGTGTGCCCAGGTGTGCCCAGGTGTGCCCAGGTGTGTGCCCAGGTGTATCCCAGGTGTGCCCAGGTGTGCCCAGGTGTGCCAGGTGAGTGCCCAGGTGTATCCCAGGTGTGCCCAGGTGTGCCCAGGTGTGCCAGGTGAGTGCCCAGGTGTGTTTTCGGTGTGCCCAGGTGTGCCCAGGTGCCCCAAACCCCCCAAAATCCCCATTTTTCACCCCATTTCCACCGGGGTTTTTCTTGCCCCGCCCCTCCCAGCTGTGCCCAGCTGTGCCCAGGTGTGCCCAGGTGTGTTTTGAGTGTGCCCAGGTGTGCCCAGGTAACCCCAAACCCCCAAAATTCCCATTTTTCACCCCATTTCCACCGGGTTTTTTTTGCCCCGCCCCTCCCAGCTGTGCCCAGGTGTGCCCAGGTGTGCCCAGGTGTGCCCAGGTGTGCCCAGGTGTGCCCAGGTGTGCCAGCTGTGCCCACTCGCTCACCGGGGGGAAGTCGCTGAGCTTCTGGAAGGCGCGGATGTAGAGCTCGTGCTGGGAGAGGGGAGAGGTGAGAGCAGCCCCAAAATTCCCAAAATTTTGGGGATTTTTGGGGGAATTTTGGGGACTTTTTGGGGATTTTTGAGGATTTTTGGGGAATTTTGGGGGTTTTTGGGGATTTTTTGGAAATTTTTAGGGATTTTTGAGGATTTTTTGGGGATTTTTGAGGATTTTTGAGGGATTTTTTGGGGAAATCTTGGGGATTCCTTGAGGATTTTTGGGGATTTTTTTGGGATTTTAAAGAATTTTTGGGGAATTTTGGGAAAGTTTGGGGGAATGCAGGGAATTTTGGGGGA